TCGCCGGCCAAAGTCATATATTTTCTCCTCCGCTCCGTCATTCCTCCTCCTCCTCCTCCTCCGCCTCCTCCTCCATCCTTTTTCATTAATGAATCCCTCCGTGTCGCACCACCTGAGCCAGGCGGTTCGCTCGAGACTTCCGTGCAACTAACCATCCCGAAACTTAACAGCACCAACAGTTACATGGATGGAGAGCCAGCTGTTTTCATAATGTAAATCTCGTTTCAGTGCAATGCGCATTCGTTTTGAAAGCTTCAGCAGTTACTCGGATGGACAGCCGGCCGTTTCCAAAATGTGGTTCTCTCCTTAAGGTCATGCGCATTCGTTTCAAACGTTCCTAGCAGCTATACATATATACATATAGATATATACATACGTATGTATATATATATATATATATATATACATATTTATATATATGTATGCACACATATATATATATATATATATATATATATATACAGGCGCGTACGTTTTCAACATGGGGTTATCGCTTGAATATTCTTCGACGCATATTGCTGCAACGTTGGAGTTTTGCCATAGCTGCGCGCACGGGTGGCGGGCGGCCCCTCTTCAGCACGGCTTTTTTTTGTTTAAGACTTCGCAGTGGTTCCTGACCAGGAGCTCTACACTCCAGGCGATGCTTAAGAAAACCCAAGTTTTCGGCCAGAGTCTCGATTATGCTTAATGTCTCAATGTAAGTCCTAACATCTGAATAGACACTCTGGGTTTGATTTCAAATTCTGACACTATGAATTTCTTAACCCATGATTTCTAAAGCATTTCGCAGGGTGTAGATCTGGTAACAGCTACCTGGATGCAGAGTGCCTTCTTCCCGGAAAGGGCGCCGGCCAAGGGTTCTCTTTTTTAGTTGTTTCCCCTGGGCCTCGACTTGAGGTGGACCGGCGAATTGAATTGGCGATGAATGACGAGGTCAAGGTGGGCCGGCGAATTGAACTTTGAGGATCTCCCGAGCGAAACGCTGTTCTTCAAATTCCAATCGATAAAACAGATGGTAAAGTAAGCATTTTCGTTTGTTGCGGATGTCTCGGACGAAACGCTTGTTTGGCGTGATTTGTTGCGGACGCCTCGAGCGAAACGTTTGTTTTGTGCCATAGATCGTTCCTTGCCTGGGGACCAGAATTCAGAGGATGTCTCAGGTGAAGTGCTTCTTTTCACTTACACAGGTCTTGAGGATGTCTCGAGCGAGACGCTTGGTTTCACGCCTCCAGGTTGCCCAGGCAGATGTCTAACATGAGGAGGTGTTGAGGATGCCTCGAGCGAGACGTTTGTTTTCGCGTGTCCAGGTCGTACAGGCAGATGTCTAGCATGAGGATGTGTTGATGATGTCTCTCTCTCTCTCTCTCTCTCTCTCTCTCTCGAGAGAGAGAGAGAGAGAGAGAGAGAGACGTTTGTTCTCGCTTATCCAGGTCGCCCAGGAAGATGTCTAGCATGAGAATGCGTTGAGATTGTGTGGAGCTAAACGCTTGGTTTCACGTGTCCAGGTCGCTCAGGCATATGTCTAGCATGAGGAGGTGTTGAGGATGCCTCGAGCGAGACGTTTGTTTTCGCGTGTCCAGGTCGCCCAGGCGGATGTCTAGCATGAGGGCGTGTTGAGGATGTGTTGAGCGAAAAGCTTGCGTTCACGTGTGCTGGTCGCCCAGACAGATGTCTAGCATGAGAATGTGTTGAGGATGTGTTGAGCGAAACGCTTATTTTCACATGCTCAGGTCGCCCAGGCGGATGTCTAACATGAACATGTTCGGATAATGTCTCGAGCGAACCGCTTGTTTTCGCGTGTCCAGATGGGCCAGGCGGATGTCTAGCATGAGGATGTGATGAGGATGTGTTGAGCGAAACGCTTGGTTTCACGTGTCCAGGTCGCCCAGGCAGATGTTTAGCATGAGGAGGTGTTGAGAACGTCTCGAGCGAGACGCTTGGTTTCTCGTGTCCAGGTCGCCCAGGCGGATGTCTAACATGAGGATTTGTTGAGGATATCTCGAGCGAATGTGCCATTGGCACATCCTGTGGCGCGTCCGTGAGCCTGTGCCCCGTGTCGTGTCGTTCCTTTTCGGAGCGGAGTCGGACTTTGAGGTCGAGTTGATTGGATGTCCTTCACTTTTCCATTTCGACTTGACTAGCTCTCGGGCGGCTACTGTGTGCTCAGGCAGCTCGAGATTAAGATCCAGGTCAGTTCGGTCAGGACTCGAATGCCACGGAGGACTCGATCCACAACGCTATAGAGCACAATCGCGGCGTGGCACATCGCAGTTCAGCACGGCACAGTACAGCACAGCCCTGGGCACGGTACACCAAGATCTACACACTGCGCACTGCAAGTGCCCATCGCCCGATCAGGTGTGGAGCCGGAGCCACGCGTGAGTTGCGTGTGCGGGCCACACGAGGGGCGGGGGGGGGGGTCGAGCATGTGGCCGCGTGGGCGCCCCCGGCGTGGGGGCCCACGGGAGCTGGACAGCATCAGTGCAGCTACACCAGGTGCGGAATACGTTGGCACGGCGTCTTGCCCCAATTTTCCAGCTGGTGTATCGAACATGCTGGTCCCGAGCTGGAGCCACGTGTTTTTTGTCACGTGTCCAGGCCACCCAGGTGGATATCTTACATGATCGCCCTGAGCTGGAACCACGTGCTTTGCACGTGCCCAGGCCACCCAGGGTGGTATATAAACTGGCGGTCTTGAGTTGGCACCACGTGCTTTCACGTGTCCAGGCTACCCATGGGGTGTCTAACATGGTGGTCCCGAACTGGGGCCACGTGTTGTTACGTGCCCGCGCAACCAAGAGGGGTATCTAATAGTGTTGCTCGGAGCTGGACAAACACGTGCTCTACCGTGTGCGGGCCACCAGCAGGGGGAACTCCAACATGTGGCAGTTTTTTTTTGAGGGGGGGAGGGGGGCAGCGTGGGGGGGGGGGCACGGGAGCCAGGCGAAATCAATAAAGCTGCACCAGACGCGTAATGATTTGGCACAGTTTCTTCGGCGGGTGATGTTCGGATTCCTCCTTGGGGTATCTGACATGGTGGCCGCGCTGGAACCACGTGTGCGCACGTGTCCAGGCCGCACAATATGGGTATCCAGCATGGCTGCCCCGTTCTGGAACCACGTGTTTTACGTATGCGGGCCACCCGCCAGTGATATCTAACATGTGGTCGCTTGGGTGCCCCCCCCAGCGTGGAGGCCCACGAGAACTGGACGTAATCAATACATTGTCACGAAAGGTGTACTAATCTGACACTGTCGCTTCGGCTGCTGATTTTCCAGGTTCTCTCACAGGGTTTAACATGGTGGTCCCGAGTTGGAACCATGTGTGTTTCACATGTCCAGGCCACCCAGAGGGTTATCGAGCATGATCGCCCCGAGCTGGAACCACGTGTTGCCACGTGTCCAGGCCACTCAGGGCGGTATATAACACGATCGCCCCGAACTCGGACCATGTGTTGTCACGTGTCCAGGCCGCCCAGGGTATCTAAGATGGGTGCCTTTGCCCCTCGCTGGAACAACATGTTTCCGTGTGTCCAGGCCACCCAGAGAGATATCTAGCATGGTGACCACGAGTTGGAACCACTTGTCTTTACGTGTCCAGGCCAACCAGAAGGGTTTATAATGTGGTTGCCCCTTTCCTGGAACCCTTGGCGGCCCACAGGAGCCAGACACATTCAATACATCGACACAATATGTGCCTGACATCGTTTCTTCGGCGAGTGGTTTCCCATATCTCCCACGGAGGTATCTAACATGGTGGCTCCGAGCTGGAACCGCGTGCTGTTTCGTGTGCGGGCCACCAACGGGAGGGGGGGCATCTAACATGTGGTCCCGAGCTGGAGCCACGTGTTCTTTACGTGTCCAGGCCACCCAGGGAGGTATTTGGCATGGTGGCCCCGAGTTGGAACCATGTGCTTTCACGTGTCCAGGCCGCCCAGGAGGGTTCTAACATGGTGGCCCCGAGCTGGAACCACGTGTTTCCAGGCGTCCAGGCCACCCAGGGCGTTATCTACCGTGGTTGCGCCGAGCTGGAGCCTCATGGCGTCACGACCACATGTTAGATATCCGTGTTTGGGAGGCCTGGACATATGAAAACACGTGGGTCCTAACTCTCCCGAGCGGGATAAGCGTGCACACATGGGTTGCCCAGAGCTGGACGGCGCATGCCCCTCCCCCCTCGGCGCGTCCTTTGGCTCGTCCTCTGTCGCGTCCCCTGGCTTGTCGGCTTGTCCCCTGGCGCTTTCCTTGTCAGTTCTGTGGCGCGTCCCTTGCCACGTCCCCTGGCACGTCCCTTGGCGCATCCCCTGGTACGCCCCTGGCACATTCCGTGACGCGTCCATGCGCCCTGCGCACCGTGTCGTCTCGTCCCGCTTCGGAATTGAGTCGGACGGATCTTGAGCTCGAGCTGATTGAGTGTCCCTCACGTTCCGATTGCGGCCAGTTCTGGGCCAGTTTTGCGTTCAGGCAGCTCGAGCTTAAGATCCATGTCAGTTCGGTCAGGATTCGGATGCCAAGGAAGACTTGACCCACAACATTATAGAACACAACGCAACTCGTTACGGCACGACACATATCGCTTCAGCACGACACAGCACAGCACAATCTCTGGCACGCTACATGACATTCGATACTTTCAGCATTGCAAGTGCTTGTCGCCCCATCGGGCGTCTTGAAGACGTAGCCATGCTTCGCATTCCTAAACTACTTTCCAGGTTCGTGGGTCGATCACGTCTGAGCCGCGAGCGCCCAGTGCGTGGCCAGAGGCTGCTTGTGCTTGCTCCCCCTTGCCTCTCTCTCTTTCCCCTCCTCCGCTCCTCCACGACGGGGCCCAGGCGCGGAGGAGGAGGAGGAGGCGAAAGAGGAGGACCGTCTTCGTCGTCGCCGTCGCCGCCGTCGCCGCCGTCGTCGTCGTCGTCGTCGTCGTCGTCGGCGTTGTCTCGGGGTCCCGCGAGCGGCGTCGGCGCCGGCTTTTCGTGGTCCTCGCTGCCCGCGCGGTGACAGGTCGTGCGCCTGACCGGGCAGGGCGCCGGAAGCACCGAGAGCCTGGAGCATCCGCGGGCGGGAGGGAGGTGATCGTTTTTTATTCGTTGTTTTGCCGATCGGCGTGGGCCCCCCAACCCCCCACTCGCGCCCCCCCCCTATGGAGTAGATCTTCGCTGGTTTTTCGCGCCTGGTTCGAGCTGGTGGAGTCTCCCCCAGAGGAGGCGGCACTCCTGCAAATAGTCGCCCTAAGCAGAGGAGCAGAGGTCTGGAGCCAGACGCACCCCCCCTCCCCCCCCTCCCCCTTCCGCCCAATTCAGGAGAGAAAGAAATACACAGACACAATTAATCGTCCATTCCTGGGAAGATATGGGAAAATATGGGAAGTGGGAGGGAAGACAAAAACACAGAAAATATGGGGAATATGTTTATTTGTGTGTATTTATTTGTGTGTCCCAGTTCCCCTTCACCAATGTCGAAACACCGAATAAGAAAAACGCTCGCAGGGAGGATGCTGGCTCAGTTCAGAGGCCTCTTGCCACGTCTGTCGTTGCGGCCTCAGCTCGATACACCGTCCCGATGATGCGGGGAACGGGTGCCTGGAGTGTTGCGGTTCGGCCACTGGTGCCACAGTGAATGGGCAGCTCCCTTCTCCTTGTATGTTCCCCTTGGGGGGGCGGGTCATCTCGCTGGGGGGTGGGCACACGAGAGTCACACGATGATATTGCAACGTGAACGTGGTGTTTGGTTATGTCAGCGTTGTGCAGTTCATGCTCTTACGAATATGCGTGAACTCGCGAATCCATGCGTGAATCACATAGCCCCCCCATGGGCAGGAGTATTTTTCCCTCCTTGAGATGGGGTTGTGGCCTATGACGCTTGGTAAAGCTGAGCAGACTCGAGGATCCACTTATGCGGCTACGTGAATGGCTCGTTCTCTTTTTCCCGGAAATGGGTCGGGCCCAGGATTCTCGTTTAGATGGTTCCCCCCTGGCCTCGACTTGCGTAGGGCTGGCGGATTCAATCTGCGATGAATGACACGGGCGCGCAGCGCCGGCGAAATCAAAGTTGAGGATGTCCTTAGCGATACGCTTGTTTTTAAAAATCCCGATCGATAAATCACATGGTGAAGTAAGCATGTTCGTTTGTTGCGATGTCTCGAGCGAAACGCTTGTGTTGCAGAATGTGTTGAGGATGTCTTGAGCGAAACGCTTGTCTTGTGTTATAGGTTGTTCCTCTCCTGGGACCCGAATTCAGAATATGTCCCAGGTGAACTGCTTGTTTTCAGGTGCCCAGGTCTTTAGGATGTCTCGAGAGAAACGCTGTGTTTAACTTGTCCAGGTTACCCAGGCAGATGTCTAGCATGAGGATGTGTTGAGGATGTCTCCAGCCCAACGCCTGTTTTCACGCGTCCAGGTCGACTAGGCAGATGTCTAGCATGAGGATTTGTTGAGAATATCTCGAGCGAGACGCTTGCTTTCACATGTCCAGGTCGCGCAGGTGAATGCCTAGTATGAGGATGTGTAGAGAACGCCTCGAGCGAAGCACTTGTTTTTCACTTGCCCAGGTCGCCCAGGCGGATGCCTAATATGAAGATGTGCTGAGGATGTTCCGTGCGGAACGCTTGCTTTCACGGTCCAGGTCGCCCAGGCGGATGTCTAGCATGAGGAGGTGTCGAGACAGTCTCGAGCGAAATTCTTGTTTTCACGTGTCCAGGTGTCCCAGGTGGATGTCTAGCCGGAGGATGTGTTGAGGATGTGTCGAGCGAAACGCTTGCTTTCACAGTCCAGGTCGCCCAGGCGGATGTGTAGCATGAGGAGTTGGGCAGGATGCCTCGAGCGAAACGCTTGTTTTCACGCGTCCAGGTCGCCCAGGCAGATGTCTAGCTTGTGGAGGTTTTGGGAGCGTGTCTAGGGAGACGCTTGCCTTCACGTGTCCAGGTGTCCCAGGCGGATGTCTAGAATGAGGATGTGTTGAGGTTGTCTCGAGCGAGACGCTTGGTTTCACGTGTCCAGGTCGCGCAGGTGAATGCCTAGTATGAGGATGTGTAGGGAACGCCTCGAGCGAAGCACTTGTTTTTCACTTGCCCAGGTCGCCCAGGCGGATGCCTAATATGAAGATGTGCTGAGGATGTTCCGTGCGGGACGCTTGCTTTCACGGTCCAGGTCGCCCAGGCGGATGTCTAGCATGAGGAGGTGTCGAGATAGTCTCGAGCGAAATTCTTGTTTTCACGTGTCCAGGTCGCCCAGGTGGATGTCTAGCCTGAGGATGTGTTGAGGATGTGTCGAGCGAAACGCTTGTTTTAACGTGTCCAGGTCGCCCAGGCGGATGTGTAGCATGAGGATTTGGGCAGGATGCCTCGAGCGAAACGCTTGTTTTCAAGTGTCCAGGTCGCCCAGGCAGATGTCTAGCTTGCGGAGGTTTTGGGAGCGTGTCGAGGGAGACGCTTGCCTTCACGTGTCCAGGTCGCCCAGGCGGATGTCTGACATGAGGATGTGTTGAGAATGTCTCGAGCGAGACGCTTGGTTTCACGTGTCCAGGTCGTCCAGGCGGATGCCTGACATGAGGATTTGTTGAGGATGTCTCGAACGAATCGCTGGTCGCAGTAGAGTGCATCGCAATCCAGCCCCGCCCGTCTGTGGGGCGTCCCCTGGCTCGTTGGCGCGTCCCCTGGTGTGTCCCCTGGCGCGTCCCTTGCGACATTCTGGCGTGACGTGCCCTGGCACGTCCCCTGGCACGCCACTCGGCGCGGCGCGTTTCCTGGCTCGTCCTCTGTCGCGTTTCCTGGCTCGTCCCCAAGCGTTTCCCCTGCCCGTTCCGTGGTGCGCCCCTTGCAACGTCCTTTGGCATGACGTCCTTTGGCCGCCCCATGGCACGTTCCTTGGCACGTCCCGTGGCAGATCCCTGACACGTCCAGGGCACGCCCCATGATACGTCCCCTGAAACGCCCCTGGCGGATCCCCTACCGCGCCCTTGGCACATCTTGTGGCGCGTCCGTGAGCTTGTTCCCCGTGTCGTGTCGCTCCTTTTCGGAGTCGGATTTTGAGGTCGAGTTGATTGAACGTCCCGCACGTTTCCGCTTAAACTAGTTGTGCGACAGCTACTGTGTGCTCAGGCAGCTCGAGTTCAAGATACAGATCAGTTCGGTCAGGACTCGGATGCAAAGGAGGACTCGATCCACAACGCTACAGAGCACAATCGCGGCATAGCACATCGCAATTCAGCACGGCGCAGCACAGCATAGCTTTCGGCATTGTACATCAAGATCGATACACTCAGTATTGCAATTGCCCGTCGCCCAATCAGGTGTCTTGAAAACGTTGCCATGCCTCACATGTATGCATTCCCTTCTGGGTTCGTGGGTCGATCCTGTTCGCTCTCTTTCTCCATCCCTCGTCCTTGCGGACACCTCTTCCGTGTCGCACCAATCCGTCTCGCGCCTGTTGGACGTGTCACGTCTTTTCTTCTTCCCCCTCCTTCTGCTGCCTGGTATCTAAATCAAGAGTGATTGTTGGTAGCCCGCCATTGCTGCAAAGCGGCCATCGGCGTGAATCGTTCTGTCCACGGGCTCTTGCGCACAGCATGAGTGAGCGATCGGGTGACTGTCGCACCACTGCAGACGTGTCGTGAGGGCTGCGCAGGCGGAAAGATGGCCGTACCCCAAATTTCAGGAGGGGAAAAAACACACAGACACAATGAATCGTCGATTTCCCAGAAAATATGGGAAAATATGGGAAGTGGTGGGGAAGGCAAAAACCCAGAAAATATAGGAAAATATAAGGAATCTTTTTATTTGTGTGTATTTATTTGTGTGTCCCAGTTTCCCTTCAAAATTGGGCTCTCGCCTCGGTGCCGCGCACTCTTGTTTTGAAACGTCGAACAGTTATGCGGATGGAGGGCGGGCGGTTTGCAACACGAGGCGTTCGCCTTGGCGCCGTACGCGCTCGCCTGAAGCAAATCCGGCAGCTACACGGACGGAGGCATGCTGCCCAGGGAGGCCCTCCGCGGAGCCTCCCAGGAAGCAGGCGGCAAGGACGACCGCGGCCCGGAGGCGGGGCCTCCTCCGTCTTGGGCCCGGGCCTCCTGCTTCTCCGGCCCTTCGGGCGACCAGGCGGCAGCGCTGCCCCGTGGCCCTCCCAGGGAGCCGAGCAGCCTGGCCCAGCGGGGCGCTTGTCCCTCCTCCCAGTTTCTCCTCGCCTTCCTCGTCCGCGAAGTCCTCCCCAGACCACCTTGGCGAGTCGAGAACATCGCGCCATAGGGAGAGGAGGCGGAGGAGGAGGAGGAGGAGGAGGAGGAGGAGGAGAAGGAGGAGGTGGAGATGGAGATGGAGGAGGAGCAGGAGGAGGAGGAGGAGGAGGAGGAGGAGGAGGAGGCGACGGAGGAGGAGGAGGGGCGGAGGAGGAGGAGGAGGAGAGGAGGCGGAGGAGGAGGAGGAGGAGGAGGGAGGGGGGGGAGAAGGAGGAGGAGGGGGAGAGAAGGAGGAGGAGGGGGAGAGAAGGAGGAGGAGGTCGAGGGCCCCTGGAGGGCCGAAAACGGCTAGTTTTGTTTGGAGCGTCGGATCTCTGGGCCTGGCGAGCGAGCCCAGCGCGGCGAGGACGGGGGGAGGGGGGGAGGAGGAAGGAGGAGCAGGATGAGGAGGAGGAGGAGGAGCAGGAGCAGGAGGAGGCGGAGGAGGCGGCGGAGGAGGAGGAGGGCGGAGGGAGGAAGCAGGAGCAGGAGGAGGAGAAGGTGCTTCACGACTTTCGGCGCCCGGGGGGGGGGCCGGCCGTCTTCTAAGCCCCTTTGGTCGCAGGCAGCCACGCTGTGGCGGCTCCTCGTTCCGTTTTCTTTGGGTTGCGTTGTGTGGTACCGCGCCTGCTTCTTTCCTCCTTCCTCCTACCTCCTTCCTCCTTGCTCTTGCCTCCTTCCTCCCTCCTCCCTCCTCCTCCTCCTCCTCCTCCTCCTCCTCCTCCTCCTCCTCCTCCTCCTCCTCCTCCTCCTCCTCGCTCAGCGGGCCGAAGCGTCCTCTTCCAGGCGCCCCCGCGGATGCCTCGTGGACGCAGAGCCCTCGGGGCCGTGACCCCCCC